ACAAATAAGCGAAAGTAACATCTCAAAGTCTATTATGCTCTCGAGGGTACATCCTTGGGAGCAATGATTACGAGAATCATTTCTTCGGGGCACCACCTCGACCCTCCAAATGGCATCTTCAAGGATGAGGAAGAAGCAGAAAACGATGAAGAAGCAGAAAAAGATGAAGAAGGGGCCGTGGCTTGCCAAAGAGCAAGAGCTCTTTGCAGGCCTTGCCCGACACAGCTATTTTGAGTCCACTTCTTGGAACACTATGCCGTACAGGTTAGTAGTTGGTGGCGCCGCTTCACTCCACGAAAAGCAAAAGGGGTGAAGCGCCATACCCAGCCGAAGTAGGAAGGTGAGCAGCTGTGTAAAGTTCGAATATCTTCCTAAGTAGGAAAAAATCCAACACCCCCTCCCCTCATTGTCTCGGGCCAACAACGACAGCAGTAACAACAACAACAACAATAACAAACCAGTGCGATCCCGCTCAATAGGGGAAAGCTCTGAGAAAGAGCCATAACACATCTGGCAAGAACGCCATCGTATGACCTCGCGACCACAGGCTTTAAGCATGGGAAATAAAATTGGATGAATATGAAGAGAAGTAAAGAGCCGAAAATTGGTGGGGAATGACTGAATGAAGTTTTGGTTCAAGAAAGCTTCCATTTATAGAAAATAGGAAGTGTAACCAACAGCGCAATCAATGCCTCTAGGAAATGTGCCGACGGCACAAGCAATGTCTTGGGAGAACGGATCAACAGACGCAATCAATGCCTGTTGGGAAACGGATCGGTGGCGATATTATCGCCTTGAGAAAGTAAACTGGCGCTACATCAAATGTTCCTCGGAAATACGTGTCGATGGGACGTCTCAGTTATCGGAAAAGCCGACGTCATGAGCATGATATCATCGTAAGAGGCTGGAGGGGATCGGTGTCAAAATCGTTTCTTATCATTTTATTCTAAGAAATGCAGGGACTATCTGTATACGGTAAAAATTAGAGGGCTCGATTTTGTGATCACAAGGACGCCTCAAAAAAGACCACCTCCGGGAGGCTTAAAGTCTAGCTCGGAGTTCGCCCCCGAGGGTTCGTGATGATCGACCTCGAGGCAGTGCAAATCAACGGCTGCGACGCACCAACAGGAAGTTCCCAAGGCATATGATCAAAACTGACAAAGCCTGCAAGGGAAACACTAGTGTGTACCAGACTAGTAAGTAGCTATTCCAACTATATTTCATTGTAAAAATTACTCATGTACTATGATGGGATTTTTCTCCTTCTATAAAAGGGATCCTTGTCATTTTGTAAAAGGCATCTGATACACAAGATACAATACACTACGTTCAATACAAGAACATTCTCTTCCCTCTAGCTTGAACATATTCTCTTGGTTTCATTATTTACATTTATTGCTTATACTAGATAAGAATCACCCGTGCGGAGCCTGAGCCCAATGTTGTTGATTTGAATCAGATCTTAAACTACTTTATGCCATGATTTGATAATATTTTTACTTATGGCATGCTTTATTATTTATACAACTACGTGAACTTTCTTAATCATGCTGGAAACTATGTTTAAGCTTGTGGCTCCTTATCTGATTATGAATGGCTAATTTGACGTGATAGATTACATGATCAACTGTAGTCATGATATGACTCTCCATTCTCTAATTATGATTTGGAGAATTCACTTGGAATCCAACTGGGATGGTCAAAGAAGCAGTAGGAAGTAACCAACAGACAACAAAACAAGTGAATCATTATTTAATTGTCAGGTTACACAATCAAAAGAATTAGGTGCATCACATATCAAATACCTAGCCTATTGACTTCCCTTGCTATTCTTTTCCTCAAACCTTAGGAGCTTGACCTTTCCCGCTGCCTGGCTACGTCAAACTTCATTTCGACTATACAAATGCAAGTCCCGAAACAATGACTATGAGCCTCTTTGAGGAAAGCTGGTCAAAGATATTGACTTGATCGATCGTAAGCTTTTAAGATATCATCTGAATGTGCTCGTGGATCCATCTCAGCATCACTTCCAAGTTGGCTTTGATGTATTCCTTAGTTTTCCGGATGTATATGGACTGATTGTTAACCAAAAAGAAAAAAAAATTAATAAACAAGTAGAACATAAACCTTTGTATCTAATATAGATTACGTCAATTAATTTATAGGGATATCGAAGGTACATTCTTTTAGAAGTATATATGATCTTGTTTTTATGACATAAAACTGGCATTAGGTACATATATAATACTCCATCCGAAGAACTACATATGTGCATTAGTATTTCACATATAGCTACTGAACATGGGAGCAAAAGGCGGAGGGAGGAAGAAATATAAGTTGTACTATACATGCACATATAGCTACTGAACACGGGGAAAAATAAGATAAGATGGTACACTAATCCACACATAAAATGATAAATCTAAAAGTAAAGAAGGAAGACGCAAGGCAACTTGAAGACATTAGAACTATTACAGATGTCATGTGTCAAGGATATAAGTAATAGCAAAGTATGCCTAAAGGACTTCAATTTACAAATTGAAAAGGTTACAGAAGATGATAACTTCAGTAATTGTAAACTAAGGAGAACTATCAAACAAAAGAAGTTGTACTTATATTGTAAGGCAGAAAAGATAAACTTAAATAATAGAGATGGCATAAGGAGAACTATCAAGAGAGAAGTGGTACTTATAAGGTGAGCTAGAGAAGCACTTCACTCACATAGGTGATCCCACTAAGTTGAAGTTATAGCAGTAGTCATGCTATTTTTTTAATCTATTTTAATGATTTCAAATGGGGGAGAAAGAAGTTCACAGACATTATACTAAACTCAATCCATGTAATAGGAAGCAGATATCTTTAGCAAAAAAAAAAAAAAAAGAACAGGGATACCAAATAATGAATTGACTCTAAATTATATGAACCTTGTATTTATGTCGTATTTAACTATTGCATGTGCTAAAAAATTACCTTTTTCCCTAAATGTTTGGAACTTTTGAACTGATTGTATTCTTCTCCGCCATATGTAGTTCCTGTGATCAAGAATAGCTAATTGTTAGAGACTTAATTACAACTTGAACATAAGTTAAAAAAAAAGAAATTAAAAAAGTAAAGAGTTAATCTAATATAAACTAAAGTGTCAATGCAATCATTCACGATGATTATCTCTTCCTATATCTTTTCACTATACTAAAGGAACAATAATCTTAACTCCATAAATTACTATTCAGTGTTTTTTTCCGAAAATCATGAACTTGAATTACAGCTTGCTGTAATCTCTAATGTCTCGACATGTTATTTGCTTGCACGACTGGTAGTCCAATTCTAGCCAGTAGAACTTGGATGTCAACACCTAGTGCTATAGAAAAGAAACTCCTTGATTCCACTACATGTAGTTATACACAGCTAAAGACATAGTAAAATTGTATACAAGCGAATATAGCAACCAATATGCACGCGACAACTAAGATCAGAAGCCAGATAAACATTCTATGCTTAAAGAACTGAATCTTCCCACCACCCAAGCCGTCAGAATACTCTTCTTTCATGTAATCAATCCACATAAGCTTTCATAATTTCAACAAAAAAAAATCACTCTTCAAGAACTCAATTTCTGAACTGCCAAAATAGTTTTATTTAACATAAGTGGAGCCACATAGAATTACAAGAGCAAATGCTCATTAAAGATATTTTAAAAAAAGATTAAATACGGACGAAGAATTTTTGTCAAGAACAAATCTTTCCAAAACACTTTGAGCTGCCACAATATAATCGTGTCTCACATAAATGACCAATCTAAAATAATAATAACAAATAGCCACTAAGAATATATAAAAAAAATTATAACCGGAACAATGAAATGAACAAAGCGGAAAAGGCAATGGCAAACTCACATGCTGCAAGGGCGTAGCTAACCGAGAGAAGGGCACAACTCTGTTTTCTTTCTGAAGAATAAATCTGCTACTATAAAAGAAAAGATTGCAGATATGCGAGGATGACAATTGAAAAACCTTCACATCAGCCGTGAAATTGGAGCGAGAATTAGACAGATTAAGAACGACATCAGCCATAATTTCCAATCGTCAAAATTCAGAAGTCAGAAGAAAACTGAAAAAAATTAGGGGAAAATGACAATAAAGCTGACCTGAAATATGAAGAGAACTTACAAAAAGCACTTAAGAGTAGACAGAAGAGTTGGGAAAGAGCAGCGATGTTTCTCCATCCTTGAAATTCTTCTGGAATTATATTTAAGAGAAGCCGTCAGTGAGCATTGAGATAATTATTACATGAAAGCTTTTATGAATAGCAAAATGTCAATTTTGCCCTTGGTCGACCACACTTCCCTTTTCTATATAATAGATAATAGAAATTCATTGTGTTGTATTAATTGTTCATCATCTATTGCTCATTATTGATCATAGAGAGTCGTCATCGCAGCTCTCATAACTGTTAGTCCTTCATTGACTACCCTTAGCCGGGTATCATATTCGACCTCGAGGCCCCATATATGCGAGCTCGAGGCCTCAATTCCTAGCCATTTCGGTTCGTTTATTAAGCTATCTATAAGCTATCATCTTAATTTTCAATCCTTCACTTAGCATTTATTGCCTAACAACTAGCATAAAAATGGATCACATGTTTTTAGAACCACTAAATCAAATGTAATTGTTTACCATTTTCAAGGTAAACAAAACTGTAAGAATTTTTTAATTATAGCACATATATGTAAATATTTCGAACCCTAGCACAATATGTCTTGGAGTTTTTTTCTGGGGTGTATTTTAGCTAAGAATATTTCTATAAAATTTTATTTACAAGCGGCTAAATGTTGAATAATTTTAATACACTGGTTGACTATTAATAGTGGTCTTTGCCAATTTCTTTCCTTGATTAGATATCGAGGCAAATAAAGAGGGGTTAAGTTGTATCAACTACCAAATTTAAGGGAGTGAGCTGCAAATCCAATGGAATCAAGTCCTTTAGCCGTTCCCGAGCCGCTGCACTTACCCCGGCCCGTCACAGGTAGCTTTCGCACAATATTCATTCCTTCTTTCGTGCGCTATAACACTATTCTTCTCTCCGAAACCAAACAAATCCTTCACTCTCTCACTCTGCTGTCCAGCACATCGTCAATCCCTCTCTCACTCTCTGCGCCTCCATCTTCTACAACTTCCATTTCGGGTAATTTCTAATTCTTCATTTTTGGTTCTGCAACACTTAATGATCTGTTTAATTAATGCAACTGTTTGAGTTACTTTACTGCTCTTCTCTAATTGGATCACGTTAACTTCAATCTTTCCTAGTAGAAACTATTTTTTAAAATAAATTTTTGGTTGTTTTTGACAATCATTAGGACCGCCGTTTCCTCGTGATTAGCAGCCATTTATAATTATGATCAATGTTCCTAAGTTTTTGTTTTTTTGGAAATGTCGATTGATTAAATGATTTTTATATTTATTTTTTTGATTTGTTTGGTTCTGGTTGAGTGAAGGGCCTTGTATGAATGACAACTGAGGACAGATCTGTGGTTTGCGCTTTATGTATCTCACCTGTAATGATTACATGTTCGCGGATTTTACTACTGCTAGTCATTAAGAGTTGCATTAGTGAAATGAATACCCCCCTCCCCCCTCCCCCCCAAATCCAAAAAAAGGTGTGAACTTTTAGGGTTCTTCCTACGGCTGCCTTTTGGTTTCACACCCGGTGTCCATTTCCTGCTTTGGGGGCCGACTAATCCGGATTCACATCAGGAAGTCCTACTCTGGGGTGTAAAGCGATCCCTATCAAAAGTTCGAACCCGAGACCTCTAATTAAGGATGAATTAGTACTTATCAATCCACTAGTCTGGTTCATTTGCCAGAACTACAACAATAATAACAACATACCCAGTATTATCCCACACCGTGGGGTCCGGGGAGAGTAGTGTATACGCAAACCTTTCCCGGTTACCCCTACCTTGTGAAGATAGAGAGGCCGTTTCCAATAGACCCTCGGTTCAGGAAAGTATAAGCACCACAACATTAATGAAAATGTAGACAAGAAGGGACAATACCAAAAAGTCATATAAAAGCAAAGTAAAAACAACAAGATAGTAAGTGATCAACAATAAAAGAAGACAATGGTTAGTCATAAAAACCTACTACCAATCGGAAGCGAGACTGCGTGCTAATACTACTGTTATTATTATTTTTTTGCTTGTAAGCCAATGGCACTTTTACCTGATATTGTTGTTCTTTATTCCGCTATCTGCTCCTGTCAATATTTGTTTTTTAGGCCTTAATATATATTTATATTTGGATTAGTGGGGCTTAATAAGGCTATATTAGGACAAACTTTTCCTTTTGCAAGTATATGGATTTTACCGACTTCTAGAAACTACTTAGTGAGAACCTTCAATATGACTTCAATATGAAGGTCATAGACAGATTAGTCTTGTATACTCTGTTACTCTGCCTGGGTGTCATAATCATCTATTCCCATACAACTGGCAAAGTTATTCCCGAAATGTTTTCATGTTTGACTTCCCAGCCCATAGCAATGTTGCTCATGTGTTCAGATTCTGACCCCGTGATCTTATTTGTTTATCTTTCTTCTTATCTCCTTGAAGTAATATGTATTCTGGTAATTTCTGTGTTAACTATACTGATGTTTGAAGCTGATGTCTTTTTGTTGCACAAATAATGAATACAAGGGTGATTTTTATGACTATCATCTTGTCGAATTTCTACAGAATGGCCACACAAACTGCAGCTCCGCCTTCTGCTCAAGTTGTTGGAAATGCTTTTGTTGAGCAGTATTACCAAATTCAGCATCACTCCCCAGAGTTAGTATATCGATTCTACCAGGATTCGAGTGTCTTAAGTCGCCCAGATTCTAATGGCGTGATGACATCCGTGACAACAATGAAAGTGAGTACAAGTAGAATTTGTTTGTTTACTGCTATGATACGTGATATGCTGGAAAGGTGTTGTGCAAGCACAAATATCAACTAATCCTTATGCATCTGTATGATAGCCAAACATTCTAGCAGCTATTAATGAACATGTTTATCATCTCCTAACTCATGCTTATTTCTTGTCTCGAGCTTACTTCTTATATATTCAGCAGCCTGAACTAATAAAACCAATTTTGAAGATGCTTACAAGTCATGATTGTCTAGAGTTGGTGGTTGATGTTGGAGATCTATTCTTGGAGAACCATAATATGCTTTTGCCAACTAACAAGCAAGCATATACGATCAGAGAAGAAAAGAGAGTAGTTTAAATTGTTACCCAACTAATCGTGAATTATAATTTCATTTTTTACTTGGGAGCACAATTTGTGATCTGGTATTATATTTTGCACCCTTCAAATGAGCTTTAACCCAGTTCACCATTGCGAAAAGTAGATTACAAAAAATCCATCCCCCAATCACTTTGTTGGACAAGTAAAAATCATACTTCTTGTGGGAAATATGATTTAAGAACTCACAATGTTCAGTGCATAGTAAGTACTGTTTGTTTGGTATTCATTTCTTTTATTTCTCAAATACTTTTCCCTTATACTTGCTCATGTCCAGGGGCGCCTTTTGTATGTTTCTGCCCCTTACCTAGATCTCTTCCACTAATAGCAGCAACACAGATATTTGAAATCTTGGACTATTTTTGGCCCCTGAAGCTCAGCTATGGTTGCTAATAATTGATGCTTAGATCTTTCAGATCTTGGTGCTTAATTGCATGCTCCGGTGTAGTCAAGGAGGTTCTTTTCTTTTTAGTGAACTGAAATAACCGTGTTCTGTTTGATCTTTCTCGATGTTGTTTATCAAAATGGTAGAGCATTTCGGATTTCTTGATGTAGACGTAGTCTTCTATTCTTTTCCCTTAACCTGAGGTGACTATTTGCTCTTGGTCATACCAGCACAGAATTATTTTAATTTGCGAAATTCAGAGTGATTGTTGATTTGCTATCGAAAGATATCTTTCTTCCGGATGTGAAAATAGATAGTACCAATTATTTACCTATCAAAAGAAAAAGGAGGTAATACCAATTATTTTCGTAAAGTGTGTTTTATTTCATTTTTGATATTGTTAAATGGAACCTAATTGTAGATATACTTGTTCCAAATGCTCACTTTTATTCTGTAGAGATGTGCTTACTAATACCACAAAATTTCCTTTGAATTGACAAAATTACTGAGTGTTTGGTTCATGAGTTTGAAAGCATGGTTGAAGACATGGAGTGACAACTTGCTTGGTTTGGATTGCTCACGAAACTGGCTTTAGAGAAATTGGCTTTAGGTAGCGTTTTCGGAGAACATATTTGTGTGTTTGGATTTAGTATTGGAAAAGTTTGTTTGGAGAACTGGCCTGCAATGTTTGCTACCTTTCAAGGTCTCAAGTTCGAAACCACTGGGTGCAAACAATTTATGAGGGCCATGGGGTAAAACTTGAATTAACCGTGGTGCACTTGCGGGAAACTCCTTGCCGAGGGCCTGTGCACCCCCGGGATTAGTCGGGTCTCTTAGAGACTCGGACACCCGGTGCAAAATCAAAAAAAAAAAAAAAAAAGAACTGGCCTGCAATGGCAGAGGTAGTACTAGTACGGCGTGGGACATGCAGTGGGCACACATCAATTCTAATGTGAACTAGGTCTTGTATTTAAGTAGAGAAGGGTAAAGGGGTGACCCATTATTCATTGAGTTTCGAAGACAAAAACGGATTTATCGGTCATAAAAGTGGGTAGAAAACTTGTTCTTTTGGATATGGTTGTGGGCTAACGCTATAACATTAAGATACTTTTGTTAACAATATGAGAAAAATTGAGTAAACAACTTTATTAGCTACCGACTTATTTCCAGAACTCAGAACAGCCAAAACAACAATAAGTTATTTTCTGCTATATGACCAAGTTGTTGGAAAAAGGAAAAAAAGAGACCAATTTCCAGCCATAAGGTCTGAGAGCAGTCGGTAAGCAAAAGAAATTTGGGGGACTAAATGTCAAAAGGGAGCCTAACTTCTAAATTTTATTGGAATTAAAAACCAAGTCTAAAACCATTTTGGTCTATTTTCTAATTGTTTTGGTCTATTTTCTAATTGTGTGGTTGTGAAACCAACCATTCCATTTAGTTGGTTTCAGTCTGGTTTGGAGAACTTTTTGATAATAATCATGAGCTATGTTTTACTTTTCTGGAAATTGAACCAAGCAATGTAAAACAGTTGATATTAAAGGTTTCAACTTAAGGTTTCATTAGTTGTATAAAAGAATAGAATGCTAATAGATGTGCATTACTGATTGTATAAGACCAGGCATAGTGAAAAACTAGTCAGCATGTTTATTTTCTTTGATTGGAAGGTGAAGTATCATCATTTTAGAGGCATGAAAGAGTTTGAATGGGATCTTTAGGCTGTAATACTTGTTATTGTCATTACAGATACTTCTGAAGCTGTGACTTTGTTTCATGGCTGTCCACGCTACAATACCACCGAATATGACTGAGAGGAACTGTTGCAATCCCAAATTAAAAAGTCCCTGTCAGAGCTTAAGAAATGTCGTAAAACCTGTCCGCTCTACAATATATAGTAATACCAAGGTCCTTGGTATCTTATTTTGATGAGTAGATCCTTGGTATTAAGAGCTGGCAGTGATTTATTTGGGAGAATTCCTTGTTTTAGAAATAGCCTTCCTCAAATATATTGCCTTACATCAGCCCATTCTGTTGGCATTGTCAACCATTAAGTTCTGATAGAAGTTTGTCTTCTAATTTTAGGGTTTCACTTAAAGGGCTGCTAATTTGCTAACATGAGAAGTAGCGTGACAGAAGTATTTTGTATTGTTTTTTGTTGCACCTTGTTTATTTGTGTATTTTTAAAATCCTGTTTAGAGATATTAATTGGAAAAGTATTAGCAAGAATTGCATAGTAAGATGGTAAATTGAATACTATCTGCAATATTTAAAACTATATCGCTTTTGTTGGAGCAGAATATCAATGATATGATATGTTCATTGGACTACAAGAACTACAAGGCAGAGATAAAGACTGCAGATGCACAGGAGTCCCATAAGGATGGTGTGATTGTTTTGGTAACTGGATGCTTAACTGGAAAGGATAACTTGAGGAGGAAATTCACCCAGACATTTTTCCTTGCTCCACAGGACAAGGGGTATTTTGTTTTGAATGATGTTTTTAGGTATGTACAAGAAAATGAGACTGATACCGTCTCAGAAATTATTAATGGAACTGAGGATGTGCCTTCAGAGGTTCTGAGCCCTGATCCAGGTTGGATCTCTTTCAAAATTCGATAAGTGTACTTGTTCTTGTTATTCTCTTGAAATCTCTTACCATTTTCATTTTGATTCCAGAACCAGCTCAAGTGGTGGATCCTCCAAATCTCGACCAAGCTGGCTCTTATGCTGAAGAAGCTAAGAACGTTGAGGAAAAAGTCCATGACTCTTTGGAAGATGGGAGACAAGTTGGTGAGGAAAGGGAGATTGTGGTGGAAGCTGAATCAAATTTCAATGAGAACCAGAATCATGCAAATACGGAATCAGAGAATTCTGTTGCCCAAGAGGATGCTCCAAAGAAGTCATATGCATCAATTGTCAGTTCACAAACAAAGAAAGGGCCAATCAAAATCTATGTACCTACTAATACATCCAGAATGGCTCCTGCAAAGGCTGTAAAGCAGCCTGTTGCTGCATTAGCACAAACTCCAGCTCCTGAAGCATCAAATCCTACTGCCCACAATGGAGCTAACGTACCTGAAACTAATGATACTGAAGATGAAGGTATAATATCTTGAAACTTGCCTGAAATATACTCATTCCTTCCATTGGGAAAAATCTTTTGATGGGCACATTTAGATGTAACAAAATATGGAATAGGGATGCTCATTTTTTATTTTGAGCAAATGAAGGAACATGATAAGTAGACACGTTGAGTTTGATCCAGATGTTGGGTTATTTGATTTTGCAGTATTCATGCTTTACTGCTGATTCTACTTCTGTTTCCTCATTGTTTACAGTCTCATTAAGAGTATATGGTCATCTAATTTACTTAATTTTAATTCTTGCAGCTGAGGGGCACTCCATTTATGTTCGCAATTTGCCTCTAGATGTTACCGTAGCCCAACTTGATGCTGAATTTAAGAAATTTGGACCTATTAAGCAAGGAGGAGTACAAGTTAGAAGTAATAGGGTTGGTTCAGCACACATTGTATTCATCTTGGTTCACTTACTCCTACAGATATTTAATATTTTTCCACTGATTCCCTTTTATGCAGCAACAAGGATTCTGCTTTGGCTTTGTTGAATTTGAAGATGTGAGCTCCATGAACAGTGCCATACAGGTTTGAGCCCTCTGAAATATCATTGCATAGTCTATCTTCACTAGAATTTAAAAGGGAAAAAGGTCAGATTTGTCCCTCTACTTTAATAAATTATCCACGTTTATCTCTAGTTCTACTATCCGTCCAAATATGTCCCAACCGTTAAGAAAGTAGACAAAAATATCCCTAACCCTAATGGATGTCTACTGTGGCAAGGCATCCCCTCAATAAAAAATGCCACGTAATTAAATTGAAATGGTGGACTCTATGTGTGTCCAAAAAAAGATTAAAAAAGAGTAAGAGGAAATAAAAGGAAAAAATAAATGAAATTAGAAAATCCTTCCCTTCCGCGTCTTCCTTCACCTCATCAGAATATTCCGGCCAAAAGATATATCCCTTTCATCAGAATTTTTTTAGTTTCCCCATTTCCGTTGCACCTTGTTTCCCCCTTTTCCTCTTTTCTGACCATATTCTCCATGAACATCTCACACCAATTTTTATTTTTCAAGCTCTCACTTTCCTCCTTTCTCTTGTCTGTTTGTAAATCACTTCTTCCACTAATTTCTCTCAATGTTCAAGTGGCTCTCAATACTTAAAACCCCATTAAGAGCACTGTTCTAGATAGAAAATTTCCCTCAGCTCAGCGAAGTCTTTTATTTCGGGCCGAAGGTTCATTTTTATTTTATCATTATCTTCTTTGTTTGCGAAAAAGATTGTTCCGTCGAGATTTTACGGATTCTGATATGCTCAGACAGCGAAGAAATTTTGATAAAAAGAGGTGAGGGAAAAAAAAATTCTGGTCTCGGGTGAATTTTTAAAGAGAAACAGGGGATCACTGGTAAATAGATTTTGACGGAGGTTTTCTTTCTTTTGGATCTAGCTCTCCTTTTTGTGGAAAAAGAGTGTTGCTGGCCGGTTGTGGCCAGTAGAGAGGAGCGAGAGATGGGAGAAAAGAGAGTGACCGGTAGTGTTTATACAGGTGGTTTCTAGTGAAGCTTTTTGGTGGATATTTTCTTGGTGGAAGACGGTTGGAGTGGTGGTTCGGACGGTGACTGTCAATGATGGAAATTCATGAAACAATTTTGTGGAGCAGGACTAGAACCATGAAATTGCAGCAATGGTGGTATATTAGCCGAGAAGAAGAAGACTAATTTTAGTGGGTTTAGTTATTTTTCTTTTACTGATGAAAAATAATTAGTTACATGGAGTCCATCGTGTCATTTTAATTGATGGGTCATGGACATCCGTTAGGGTTAGGGGTGATTTTGTCTACTTTCTTAACGGTAGGGACATATTTAGACGGATAGTAGAACTAGGGATAAACGTGGATAATTTACCAAAGTATAGGGATAAATCTGACCTTTCTCCCAATTTAAAATGTATCATCTTCCTAGACTTGTTAGTATGATATGTCGCCTCATTAGTCTTTTCAAGATGCGTGATGGACCCTTGATCACCATAAAGAGTATGACGTGCCAGTTTTTGATGTTAGTTCTATTTGGCATATAATGGTTAATGACAGGCCAGATTTTGATGTGTGTGCTGTTCAGCATATAAGGTTATTTGTCGAAATAACAACTGTTTATTTAAAGGGACCTATCATCCTCAAGCTGTCTGAGAAGGCTTATGCTAGTCTGCTAGAGAGCAAAATCAAGACCATATCTTCCAGTCATTAGTGCTATATTGCTTTTCCTGATTAATTAGGTTAACATCTCTGATATATTGCAGGCTTAGAATTAGGCTTTTAATTAACAAACATGACAAACATTAACTCCTCCTGCTCGCTACTTGCCCACTTGTCCTTTTTTATTACTTTGACTAGTGCCCAGCTCCCGAGACTCTTTCATATAATTCCAAAAATTTCTCCCGCCCTCGGAAGCTCCTACATCCAAAGTATGAGTATTTACAGCAACTGATATGTGTATGTGTACACACACGTATATCTTTGTACCTATTAATGAATACAACACAGTTTGAAAATATTAGATGTGTTAGAAAATCAAATTTTTTGGGTTGAACTAGATGAAGTCGGCTAATGACCGTGCTTATTTCAAAAACTGTAACGACTAGTATGAAAAGTTCTACTGAACCAAAACTTCAAAATGAAATTAATTGAATTGCCTCTAATTGTAAAATGATTAACCCTAGTAGTTTATAGTTTGTATAAGTGGCACTTAACATGTTGGTTAACTGTATTCTGGAACAAGGAAAAAACTCATTGGCTCATCAAAATAACCTACTACTAAAGAGTAGTTGATCAAGGTGTCATCTAATACTGAGAATCAACTGCTGCCTGGACGAAGATCATGATTCCCCCTATGTTATCTATGAAAATCCATAGGGACGTTTTTCTTATCACATATGCCAGAGGATTTATGGTTAGTGTACATCACTTCTGTGAAAGTTGAGCTCTGGGAAGAGTTGTTCACCTGTTGGAGTGGGGAACGTGATGAAGAGTTTCAACTTTTCATTTCCTTCTCATTTTGGTGTATTATCCAGAAGGTTTTGAAATTTATGTGCAACTTATTACAGGTAGGTCTCTTGTGTTGGAAAAATGAGATTGTGTTTTGATGAGTGGTTGAGAGCCGTGGTACGTACTGTTACAAAAACACATTGTTTGGATGGTTTGTTCTGGATTCCCTAATTTTCTGCTACATAGAGTGCGCATATTAAATTAAGAGAACTGTTTCAAACCAGACTGCAGCCTCGAGGATGTGATTGGAAATCGACGTTTATAGATGGAGCATAATGTGCAAGTTAAACCACATCAATGCAGTCACTACAATCTAAGGATACAATGTTTATTCAAGGCTAAAGCATGTATAGACCTTGATTCAGTGTGCAGTTCTGCTATCACCACCGCAGAAGAGCCACAATTAGTTCAGTTAGTGCTCTACTATGTGTCTATGTCTGATATTCCAGTATAGTTCTATATTAAATCCTGATTCTGCAGCCATGGACTTCGTTTAAGGTTAAACAAAGTTTTGCCTGAAGTAGTAATCAGGAATATGCAGATTAGCTGTATAATATGGGAGAAAATAATCTTCCCTATCTTTTGTCCTTAGTTATCTTGCTACTCAGGTTATTAGATGATTCTTTTCTGTTTTTTGATACTTTAAACATGCTGATGATTTAAAACTACTGCTAAATTCTTGGGTTGTTTTTCCGTGACAATTCTTTTATTCAGGCTTCACCCGTGACCATTGGAGGTCGTCAGGCTGTTGTTGAGATGAAGAGAACTACAACTAGAGGTAAGTTAAGAGTATATTTCCTTAAAAGTTTTCACATGCTAAGTTCAGATAAGAAAATAGACATCAAATTCTGCAATTTGTTCATACCATCAAACTTTAATCATTGATTGAGCTTCACGACTTTTTTCATATAAATGATAAACCTGGTGTTCAATTTGATGTTGCAGTTGGTAGCGCGAGAGGCCGTTTCCCTCCTGGAAGAGGAGGATTCCGAAATGACAATTTCAGGGGCCGTGGAAGCTTTGGTGGAGGTCGGAGCTATGGGAGAAATGAATTCGGAGGACGTGATTTTTCAGGGCGGGGTAGGGGTCAAGGTGGACGAGGTGGTGAAGGCTATCAACAAGTTAGAGGGAGAGGAAGGAGAGGTGGCCCTGGTCAGGGTTCTGCTCCAGCATAGTTTGTGTGGCTGGATAAATTTTGGTGGCAAATTTTTGACCTAGTTTCTTTGTTTGCCGGTGTGCGAGCAGCGGAACAGTTTAGTGGTGTAGTGATATCAGCTTAATCATAGTTGAGATTGACATTAATTTTTTCCATCTTTTTTGTTTCCCTTGACAACTTGGGTTCTCTCAGGTTAAAGTGTCGGGCAATTTTTTTACTATAGATTTTTGCGTAGGTGACTCGTGTTTCACAGGGTAGAAAATGTAACTTGCAGTGCTTAATGCTTGTTTCCAATTATATAGGAAAAGACTTGTGCTATGCTAAGATTGATTTGCTGAAAATTAGCTTGTTTCCTTGCTGAAGCTAAGAGTGGAAAGTTAAAAGAATAGGAATTTTTGCATCATTATTCTATCTAGTACTTATTCGTTATCTTGATGCGACCTTTTCTATAAGTCACCTTTTCTTTTTGTCTATATTTTTCCTATCTTGATAGATTATTTAAAACTTTTAATTCTCATTTTGGATTTCGATCAACACCCACGGAAAAACGATGTTAGAACCGCGAAACAAGTTGCCAGCTACAGCTGTTGGTATTGGTCGCTAGTTACTAGTCAGGTAGGCATTTTGTGGCAATATTTATCATGGGATCAATAATCACTCAAAATCTGGATAAGAGTTGCGATTGACGTTCTTGCTGTTATGCCTAATTTGATAACGACATATTTTGACCAACGGAAGGCACTTTCATTTTTTTTGGGTGTAGTCAAATGAAAATGTTAATGAAATGTACTTTTGCAGTGATTAGATTCAACACAAAACAAAAAAGGCAAAAGCATTTTAATTTTTTTTCTTTTTGATACATAAAACATCTTAAATATTGCTCCCTTAGTTCCAATTTATGTGAACCTGTTTGATATGGCACGGAGTTTAAGAAAAAATGAAGACTTTTGGAACTTGTGGTCCTAAACAAGTTAAAAAGGGGTCCAGAGTATTTGTGTGGTTATAAAAGCTTCTCATTAAGGGTAGAATTGTAAATTTAAGCTAAATTATTTTCAAATTTAGAAAGGGGTCGTTCTTTTTGGAATAGATCAAAAAGGAAATAGGTTCACATAAACTGAAACGGAGGGAGTATTCCTATCATTTAAGGATAAAATGTACTCTCTGCCATTCGAAAACAACTAGCAGTAAAATTTTGAAGATGAAAGTAGAGAGGTTTCACTGTACAACTACTACTTTTACTAAAAATCTAGTCTCGCTGTCCAGTTTCGATCTCAAACTAACCAACTATAACATAGACCGGAAGCAGGGCGGGAGCTAGCATGCGAAATACGGGTTCAGCTGAACCCAGTAGTTTTGGTTCAAATCTTATAATTGTCTTAAGAAATCCATTAAATATAAACAAATTATCAATTTAGAATTCAGTATTTTAAACAAACTAATGTCTCAAACCCATAAACCTCAATCTTGGCTTCACTCCGAGTCCGCAAGAGAAACAGTAGAAAACCCGATTTTGCTGGCTTTGGAACCAGACCATTGTTGGTGTGTGACGTGTGTCATTCCACGTAACATTCATTGATACCATTACTTGGGAAATTTTATTTAATGTGTGATACAATGCATTTTTTTGTTTTACAGTTTTATGAACCCAAAAATATAAGATTGTGCCTCACACAACTAATATTAGTTGTTGAGGCACACAATAGAATTTCTCCATTACTTGTGACACATGATTACACCTGACTCTTAAAGTAGACGTATTATGTTTTTTCCCAACAAATTAGACGTATTATTCACACGTGTCAGTTTATGTGAAGTTGTGATCAATAGTGAATGTCAAAGAACATTAACTTGCTAGTCAGGAAATAGCTATTATATTAGTTAGTGTTTTGATGGGAGTATTTGAAAAGAGGTAATTTTTGTTTTAAAATGTGCCTATTGGCAAAGGTTGAGTCTGTTAGTCCTAACAGACACCTAAAGGGTTTATAAATACCCTTTTCTTCTCCAAAACAAAAATCATCAGAAAAGCAACAAAGTATCTTCTTCTTTTCTGCTAGCTTCAATTCACCAAATTTGTTCAAGTGGAAATTCGAGTTAATTGCTGGTGCTCGAATTTCAGAGCCTTTGTAAAATCCTGGAGGAATTCTGCCATAATCCCTGCAACAACGAAATTGGGAGGCTTAAATTCCTTAAGGACAGTGACTACACTATCAAAGCCTAATTATTTCGTCCCTATATTCTGTTATATTTTCTAACAATCTTAAGGAATTTAACAACACTGCAATGGAGGCTTCTGGTAGTGATTCTGGTTTCAACAAGATGTTCGAAGTGTTCAAACTGGATCGATTTGATGGCTCAAATTTCACCCGCTGGAAAGACAAATTGCTGTTCTTTCTCACGGAGTTGGGAATAACATATCTGCTGAGTTCTGATCTTACTGCAATGCCAGAACCTACTGCTGAAGACTCTGACGAAATTAAGGCGGCACGCAAAAAACGTGAAGATGATGAGGTGCGCTGTAGAGGTTTTATTTTAAACTCACTTTCTGATCGTTTATATGATTTGTTCCGTCCTCACAAATCACCACAAGAAATCTGGAAAGCCTTGGAACAGAAATATACTGCTGTGAAGCAAAGAACGGACAGATTCCTTGGAATGAAATTTTTTGAATTTCAAATGATAGATGGGAAATCTGTCATGGAACAGGTTGATGAGTTGCTGGTTTTGATATCTAGACTCAAAGATTTTAAAGCCGATGTTTCTGAATCTCTTCAAGTGGCTGCTATACTTGCAAAATTACCAGCCACTTGGAATGACTATAGGAAGAAATTATTACATTCTTCCGAAAACTTTAATGTGGACCAGTTGACAAAGTATATTCGGATTGAAGAAGAGTTACGAAAACGTGAAAATAAATATGCTGCGAAAACTAGTTCAAAGGTGAATTATGTTGAGTCTAGTAAGGCAAACAACTCAGGAAAATCTGGAAACAAGGCTGGAAAGAAGAGAAAGTTTGAGGCTGCTCCAAAGGAAAATTCTTCTAACATTAAGAAAGGTCCATGTTATACTTGCGGGAAAATGGGTCATTTTAAGAAAGATTGCAGGTTTCGTAAGAGACAGAAAAATGAAGAAAACGCTGGACAGAAGAGGGTAAATAATGTTGAACAACAACAAGCTTCTTCTTCGGATATTGTTGCTATGATTTCTGCTTTTACCAACTTGAATCTGAGTATGGTAACTGAATGCAACATGGCAGCAACTATGAAATCTGCAGATTGGTGGTATGATTCCGGTGCTACAGTTCATGTATGCAATGACAAGAGTTTCTTCAAACATTATGAAGTTGCAACAAGTGATGAAAATATTTTAATGGGAAATCATGACACCGCCAAGGTCTTTGGAAAAGGAACAGTTGAACTACAATTCACTTCGGGAAAGAAGTTGATTTTAATTAATGTTCATCATGTACCTGATGTTAGGAAGAATTTAATTTCTGCAAGTTTATTAAGTAAGAAAGGCCTCAAAACTGTTATAGAGGCAGAAAAGATTATTTTCTCTAAGAATGGTATATTTGTAGGACAAGGCTATTCTTGTGAGGGCATGTTCAAATTAAGTATTAATAAAGTTGAAGTTTCTGCTTATATGATTGAGTCATCTATTAATTTATGGCATGCTAGACTTTCACATGTTAATTTTCGATATGTTAAGTTCATGTATAAAAATAAATTAATTCCTGTTGTTGAGAATAATGATAAAAAATATGAAATTTGCATACAAGCTAAGATGACTAAGAAATCTTTTCCAAAGAATGAAAGAACAAGTAATCTACTTGAACTTGTGCATTCCGATATATGTGAATTGAATGGTCATTTAAATAGAGGTGGAAATAAATACTTTATTACTTTTATAGATGATCATTCTAGATATACACGTGTTTACTTAATGAAAACAAAAGATCAAGCATTTGATATGTTTAAGAGTTACAAAGCATTAGTTGAAAATCAATTGGAAAAGAAGATTAAAATCCTACGTAGTGATCGAGGAGGCGAATATCTTTTCAATGAATTTTCTGTATTTTGTGAATAAAATGGTTAATGCCATGCTTTTACATGCAAAGTTACCAACGAATTTGTGAGGGGAAGCTTTGTTAACCGCTTGTTTTGTGCATAATAGAGTTCCTTCAAAGAAATTTAAGGTTTCACCATATGAATTATGGAAAGGAAGAAAGCCTAACCTAAATTTCTTAAGGGTATGGGGCTGTTTAGCCTATTATAGAATTCCAGATCCTAAAAGGACTAAGTTAGGACCTAGAGAAATTAAAAGCATTTTTGTAGAATATGCTGAGAACTCAAAGGCATACAGATTATTGGACATTGAGTCTAAGTATATTGTGGAACCTAAAGATGTTGAGTTCTTGGAAACAAAGTTCATTGGTGACTCTAATAATTCACATGAGGACACAGAAATTACTAAACAAGATGGTAATGCAACAAGCATTGGTGATAATGCAGTAACTCAAGAAAATTGTGCAGAACCTAGTTCTTCTTCTAACAGTAAAAGAAAGGCAATTGAATCTCCTGTAGAACCAAGAAAAAGTCAAAGAGTTAGAAAAGAAAAAAATATAGGTTCTGATTTTATTTCTTCTCAAGCACTAGTCTTTTTGGTAGAAGGAAGTAGAGATGAAGTATTAAATAAAATACCCATTATTTTAAATTTAGAAGAGGATCCTAAAACCTATAGTGAGGCTATGGCTTCGCGGAATTCTTCTTTTTGGAAAGAAGCTGTAAATGATGAAATGGATTCTCTTTTATCAAATGGTACATGGGTATTGGCAGATTTACCTTCTAATACTAAACCTATTGGGTGTAAATGAGTTTTTAGAAGAAAATACAATACTGATGGTTCTCTACAAACATTTAAAGCTAGACTAATAGCCAAGGGATTTAGACGAAAGGCAGGAGTAGATTATTTTGACACATATGCTCCTGTGGTCAGGATTACCTCAATAAGAGTATTATTTGCTTTGGCATCAATATATAATCTAAATGTCCATCAAATGAATGTTAAGACGGCATTCTTAAATGGTGATCTTGATGAAGAAGTTTATATGGAGCAACCCGAAGGGTTTGTGCTTCCTGGAAATGAGAAGAAAGTTTGTAAATTAGTTAAGTCCTTGTATGGATTAAAACAAGCTCCAAAACAATGGCATGAAAAATTTGATAGTGTTATATTATCAAATGGTTTTAAACTTAACGGAGCAGATAAATGCATTTATTCCAAATTCACAAAGGACTATGGAGTGATAGTATGTCTTTATGTTGATGACATGCTAATCATAGGAACTAACATGCAAGGCATAAATGAAACTAAGAAGTATTTAACTTCTCAATTTAAAATGAAAGATTT